TATTGTTGAGATTTGGTAGTGTGATGTGGCAGAAAGTATATGATAATTAGGTGACCGTATGATCCAAGGTGGTATCAAGTCAATCTATGTAGATCTCTGGTAGTGAATCCTTAGTGGTTTTAGAATGCTGGACCTCAGTCTGGGAGGTCATTGAACACCATGGCTAACATGATAGCAAGTAGAGAGGGATAATCCATGGAGAGAGGAAGTACCAGGAGGTCTTATGCTTGGGGACTTCCAGTATGCTAGCTCGGAACATGCTGAACCCTCTAGTTGTGGTTGAGGGTGGGGAACCCAGCTTGCAAAGTCACCATGATAGTCGATGACCTGCCAGTAGCGACTATCATCTAATCGAACAGTCAAGTTCTAAGTAGAAGATGAAATGAAGGATGTATGTATCCTTAAATGCTTGATTTAAGTTAACTCTTATAGGTTATGGCTTGAAAGGAGGCAGCTTATATATAGAAGCTACTCTTCTTGTTTGTGGCTTGTTTATGTGTTTCCGTTGACAATGACATCCCTGGCTGTGAGCAGAGGAAGAGAGTTTGTTGGAGGGAATCTTGGAGAGAATGAGAGGATGCGCGACAGCTAGACCAACTAGGAATTCTTAGTTTGCTTATGTCATGTTTGAAGACCTTGTTATGTTTAAGGTGCAAATCTGAAAAGTGTGAATACTCGAGTGCTTGAAGTTTTAAGCTTAAAAAGCTAGAGAGATAATCCTATAATCCGTAAGTACATCTCTTAAGTGCTTTGCTATATAAATGATGATGTCTTACATATAGACTGTGTACTATATGAAGAAGGTCACATAATGCTCCGAAAAGTTTGGCTGTATAAGATTTTATGGAAGAGTTGTTTTAATGGACTTAATATGTAAATTACTCCATTATAAATTGATAGACTACGCATAATTAAATTTGGAAATAATGGTATTACCCGTAAAGATCAATATTAACCAGCATCCGTCGAGATGCGTATCAGAAGATTTACATAACTCTTTATAATATATCTATTATATAATATAATATATATATATATATATATATATATATATATATGAATAAAAAGCATACAATAGTTCTGGTATTAGTTTAAGTGGAAGTGCTGAATATAGTATCAATATAGATTTTTAATATTTTTTTAACAATAAATAATACTTTATTGAATTCTTTAAAATGGTTGTAAGGATTTAAAAAATAATTAAGATTAGAAGTGATTATTTTTAGTGAAGTTTGAATACTTTATTATTAAATATTGAGTTATAAATAAATAAAATAAAATATTCAAGTTTTAATTTATAAAGATTATCATTTTTTAACTAGTTTTTTTTTTCTAAGATTTTGAGAGGTTTGTTAATTTTTTTTAAGATCAAAGTCCACTTTAGAGACTCTAGAGTAAGTGTAATAATTTTATCTGATCATAGTAAGTATTTTTTTCAGTCAATTTTTTGAGATTTTGCAATAGATGTTTTGTGAGATATAATTCAATAAGGTTTGAGATTAAAACTATAAATGTGATGTGGTTACCACATTTGATTTGATTGGCTAGAATTGACGTTGATTTATGTTGGTTTTTGAAGTATAAAAATATAATCTTTGAACTAAATGCTTTAGTTTGATACAGAAATGAATTAAGTTTGATATATCATTTAGTCAAACTATAAATAAATATACAGAAGAAATTATTAGAAATGTCGAAAAGAAAAAATAGACAATATAATATATAAGTTGCATTTATTTTAAAATATACAAACTTGTTGAAGAAGTCATCTTCTTGTTGGCCAAAATTTGTTTATTTCAAATTTAGAGAGCATTCTTGGTTGAACAAGACTTTAAATGTGAGTCTTAGTATTTTAATTAATTGGGCAAGCTAAAATCTTGCCAGGCAAAATTAGTTTTCTAAAAAACTTAAGAGGTCAAAGATGATTGATTATTGAGTGAGCCATATACATGGAAAGATAATATTTCTTAAATATATCTCCTTTAAACATGCATTCGATTGTATGTGTGTGTTATAAAAAGGAAATTTGGAGCTAATGGAGTTAAAGGAAAACACTTTTGAAGTTCTTAAAATAACCATTCTCAACTTTAGTGTTAATTTGATCATTCAAAAATGAATATCTCACACAACTCAATAAAAAATAAAATATGATGGTTTGAATGAAGTTCGTGAACCATTTTAGGTTGTAATAAACACGTTGAGAGTTATGCTATTAACAATAAATTAGAATCAACTTTATATCATTGAAATTATGTAATGTCCTGAGAGTATTTTAGTAAAAAATATGATGTTTTTTTATCTAAATAAATAATAAGTCAACCTCTCAATTGAAAAATATGAAAAATTTGCTAAATTATTAGATCTTAGATAAGTTTATCTTTCTTTAACTTAATTATTATTGATTACGAATTATTTTTTTAACTTTCACCTTAACTTAAATATATTGAGTATGTTAATACGTTAGTCTCTTAAAATTATTTATTTGAGTTGTTGGAAGTCTTACATTAACTAAAGATAACATAATTTATAATATATAAATTAGTACAAATCTTATGTTATAAGTAGTTTTTGTAGGAATGAAGTAGACTTAAAATTCATTTCTCAATATGGTATCAAAAATATTATTAGAATCTATCTTATGATATTTGTGGTTGATTCGTTATATTGTTTCACGTACAATTGGACCACCTATTAAAATCTAGTTTCACTAAATTAGTTTTATAGATTTAATTAGACTTAAAAATACATTTCTTAACCTTTCTTAGGATATCAAAATATTTTCTAAAAACTCAATCTATCCTTACTAAATATTTAACCAAACTTCACCCACCCACTTGAGTTGGTTGTCCCTCTTCAAATATGTGTTTCCTTCATAATTGAAACAATTTTACGTGAAAATATACAAGATAATGCGTTATCTATATTTTATTTTTATTAATAATTTAGTTTGCATAAATTAAATAGTAGTTTTATATACTTAAACTTTCTGATAAATAATACTTAACTGTGTAAACATTATATTTAAAATTTTAATAGATAATTATTTCACCATAAAAAAATATAAATTTAATAATTTATTTTGTCTATCTATTATTTTTTTTTTTCAATTTCATTTCACTTTTTTTACATATCTCTATTTTTTTTAAAAGAAAAAAAAACGTACTCACTGAGTTAATTTCTGTCAATATTATTATTCACTATATATCTATTTTTTATTTTCAAAATTCAGACTATCCATAATAATTTTATTTAAAATTTGTATTATTTTTCTAATATGTGAATTTTTTTTCGCCCTAAGCCCAACCTTGAAGATGCGGCTTTTAGCATGTGTACAACTTCGAAGGCTCTGAATTCCGTTTGGTTTGTTGTGGTTGAGGTCTACTTCATCCTTTCTTGATCCCATCCCCTGTTGTCACCACTTCTGGTATTGATGCTGTTGTTAAAGTTCTGATAGGGTTGGGTTGGAATGAGAGACATGAGCTCTAGGGGAAAAATTAGGAAAAAGTAGATAACTAAAAATAGCCTTTGAAAGGGGTCAAATTAAACGTATGGTATATATTTTGTTTTTAGTATAATAAAAAGAATTACACTTTTAATTATTAATTCTATTAGTTTATTTTTAAATTGGTTTTTAATATATTTTTTTATTATTAAATATGTGTGTACTATAGGATACCTAATCCTCCAACTGTCGACCAATAACCCGACGACAATTAAACCAATGCAGGGCATCCGACCACTTAGTGTGGTCGACCACTAGACAACCGACTATAATAACATACGACCATGTGGCGTTGTCGTCCAGTTGAGGCTCGACAATCGACACGTCGTCCGCCCAGATCGACACGCATGATGATCGACATACAATATGCGACATCGTGATCTAGCGGTTACAAATAAACAGTTACGCATATTGGCTAACAAGCGCCGTGAATCATGGAAGTACTTGACTCAATATCTAGCAGTTATAACTTATAGATAGCCAACTCCAGTAACCACCCGAGATTTCAGGTAAACGGTTTATTTTACTCCTTTAAATACACACAGCAGACCAGAAAAAAGGTACGTTTTTCCCCTAAGAGAAAATTAAGAAAGATTCAGTTGCTCTAACTAAGACCATTATTGACTTGAGCGTCGGAGTGCCTTTGCAGGTACCCAGCCCATCGTACTCAGAGCTTTGGAGAAGAGAGAAAGACGACATAGTGAAAGCAACACAGAGAAGGAAGAAAGGAAGGTTGTTAGGTTCGTATCTTGGTCCCTACATCCCTACTGAAACAATGTGTTAAATTATTTTATTTATTAAAAGAGTTTAAATAAAATTAATGAAATAATTTTCTTATTGTACTAAAAGGATAAAATTATGTTAATACTTAATCCCTTGATGTAACTATTTCATTATCCTAAAATTATAATGAAATAATTTTCTCTTTTAATGCACTGCATTGCCTTTTAACTTTGCAAACCTTTTTTTACTTGTACAAGAAATATTTACCTACTTGCTTAGTGGAAGATTATTCCATCGGATAATATCAATGCACCATGATTGGGCACCCAACGACTATAAATTCATAAACTATTTTCTAGAGAAATAAATGGATAATAAATAGTATAAAAAGAAGTCCATTAATGGCACTGATGAGGAAGAGACACCTTATGAAGTTATGTTACTTTATCATAAAAATGGTTTAAACCTCTAAAAGTCCAGCACCAATTAGAAACTATTCCCTTAAAGTTTTACCATAATAAGTAGTTGAGGGTGTTTTCCTGCAACCATTTCTTCTTGGTTGATGGGTGAAGTTGCTGGTATCCCCAGAAGAAGGGTAGTGTTGGAATATTAACCTTTGAAGAAGTGGCAGAAAGGTTTCTGAGAGCCTTACTTGTGGTCCGTAACCGCTGATGGCAACTGCTCAGTGGTCACAGGAACCACCATCCAAAGCCACCACTTAACTTTCTTCTTCCCTTAACTTCCATTCTTTACATCTTCCCCGTCTGTTTATTAACAATGCAATAAGAGGAGAAAGAAAGAACAAAGCTTAAGCAAAGAAACTGAACAATCATTTTCTTTTATGCCGAGGTAATGAAAATCGCTTCACAAGGAACACCTTTCTTTTTTTCTCTTCTTTATATGCTTTTTTTTGTTTGCATGCCAATTCTCTCTCGGATCAAGTCCAAGTCTTCACCTTTGTTGCTTCTTTGAATTTTGTACATTTTCAATTAAAATATGTGCATGCATGTCTACCCTTTTGAGCCTTCAGCTTGTTTATTGGACTTACGGATATGAATAGCTTGCCTGACCCGTCTTTTGGTGTAAAGTCTTCTTCTTTTGTTTTGCTGTCAAGTGGTACCTGAGTTTTTTTTTTTTTTTGGTCTTCATGGGATCTTGATTTCTGGGATGACATATTTGTCTGTTTGCTGTTCTGTGAAAGCGGAATCAGCAATGAGATATTTGGGATGCAAATGGAGAGTCTTTGATTCTGGTTTTCGTAGAAAATTCTTCCTGAAAAAATTGGTGGGATTCTGTTTTTTGTGATCTTCCAGCTGTTTCACTGATGATCGAAGGGTACGACAGTTTTGATCTGAACCTTGTTTCGGGATTTTTAGGTCTCATGGAAGTGTTCTGCATTTTCTGTTGGCTATTTAGGAGCTGTTTACCATTTGAACAAAATTGAGTCTGTAATGGAGTTTTTTTTCTTGTTTAGTTTTTAAATTATGAAGTCTTATGCTGAAGCCTGGCCAACTGAATCAAGCTTGTGATCTCATGGTTGTGCTGAAGGAATTGGACTTCGATAAGCGGTATTAATCTTTTACTTTCCGTGGGAGACTGAGAAACGATGCCAAGCCAGCTATGGTTTTCACTGCCAATGATTTACAAGAATGGAAAGATTTTCCCAAAGGACTCAAGGTTCTTCTTCTTGAGGAAGACAGCATTTCTGCTGCCGAGATAAGGGCAAAGCTTGAAGCCATGGACTATAATGGTAAGACTTTTTGGATTCCTTCTTTTTGTTATGGCATGGCTCACTTCTTTATCTTCATCTAACAATTCCCACGTATGGCTCATAGTGGGTAAGTCGGTCCCCATCTTTCTATCCGATAGCATCTTGTAAAGCCTCATTGCTTTACAATTCGTATATGGTCAATTGGTATAATTGTGGTCTCAGATTTTAGTTTCTCTGTGGAGCCTAGAAATTTTGACAAAATTTAGTTGCCCTTTGGAGCCTTGAAAATTTGAAACAATACCGTCCTCCTAATTTTGCATGCTCGGTGTTTTCACACATGGGATTTCTTTGCATCTTACGAAGCTGCTAAAGTTTTTATTTACACTAAAACTGTAAGTGTTTTCAAAACTTAAATTTGTCAGTAATCTGAATAATACAGGCTAAATTGTAAAGATCTGAAGTATAAAAAATGGTCAATTATTTGTGTCTGAACTATCAAGTCTACACTAATTTTGCACATTGACGGTCCTTTCAGTTGCCTAGACATGGATTTATTAGTAAAAAACAGGCCTCATGAAACAAGTTTAACTGAAATTATATCTTATGTCTTGAGGATCAGCCCAAGTATAATTTGATTTTTACTGAAGTCGCATGGTTCTTTTACTATCTGCTCCTTGTCTTCCGCATCTCTGCCATTTCTTGTACATTGCTTGTTTTCTCTGTTCATTTGTTAAGTAAATTTCGAGTTTCTGTACAGTTTCTACATTCTGTGATGAGAATGAAGCCTTGTCAGCAATCTCAAGTAGACCTGAAAGCTTCCACATTGCCATAGTAGAGGTAATGGATTTTCATTTTCTATATAATGAAAAATCATTATGCCGTAATTGCAAAATTTAAAATTAGAAAATGAAGGTCTTTGTTGCTGCCAAATTTAATAAAATATACTTCTTTCATTGGTATAACTTGAAAGTTTTTAAAGTCTAATCACTAGGGATGACTTTAGTCGTCTTATATATTTTTCCTTTCTATCATAAGAATTCTTGTATCTTTGTTAAAGTTCTAAATCTGAATCTTATGATTGTTACAACTTTGATGATATAATTTTTAACTGAATGCATTCATCCTAATTGCAGGTGAGTTCGAGCAGTAGCCAGGGAGGTTTCAAATTTCTTGAGAATGCCAAGGACTTGCCAACAATTAGTAAGCATAGAGACCAAAATGAATTTGCTAGTTTAACCTCTGTCAGTTCTTTAAAATTATAAATCTTTGGTCTATAATAATGGTCTTTTCAAATCAATTATCTCGTTTGAATGCTGAACCAAAACCAGTTGCAGATAAGGAAATAAACATCAATATTCCTTTGAAGTCCAATTTGGGAGAGCTTGTAATGCATTGCATGCTGTTGTTTTCATACCTGCAACTTGTCAGTTTTTAGTATTTTTTTTATCAACTGAATTTGTGAATGATCTAAAAGAGAACATTGCGCGGAAAATATGGGGAAAAGTTTGCTTCAAAGCTGTATTATGCTCATTTTAATCTTTCTTACCAGTGATATTTCCAACTTCTCATGTAGTGACTTCTAACAACCATTGCCTGAACACCATGATGAAGTGCATAGCGGTAAGCTTACATCCTCATTGTTTATGCTTAAATATCTTATTAAGCCATATTATTTGAGCTAAGCTAACTGCAATCTTATATTTCAATGTTAGGCTTTTTTTCTTTATTGTAGTTAGTCAATTCAAACATTTGATTCATCTCTAATTATTGACAAAATTACTGATAACTTATTTGGATTGTCTGTTAAATATTTTGTGCAAAAATATGATCTTTAACTCACTAGACAAGTACGTTTTCCTTTGGTTCTGATTGTTAATGCAAGCTTCTTGACTCAGCTCCATTTTTTTTAAGCTTGGTGCAGTTGAGTTCCTCAGCAAACCACTCTCTGAGGACAAACTCAGAAATATCTGGCAGCATGTTGTTCACAAGGTCTGTGATGTTGTATTGATACTACCATGGTATTTACTATTATCTTAATATGAGAATAATAATTTCTCATGTGATTGAACTCAATCAGGCATTCAGTTCTGGGACAAGTATCCTGTGTGAATCGCTTAAACCTGTCAAGGAATCTCTAGTGACTATGTTGCAGCTCCCAACAGACAATGAACAACATGAAAGTAGAGTGTCCATTGATATAGAGAAAGTATCCAGGTTTACTGATAATGATGATGTACTGTCTCCTGGAAATGATAAATATCCAGCTCCTTCAACCCCACAATTGATGCATGGGACAAGATTGTTAGACGATGGTGATTGCCAAGAGCAGACTAATTGCTCCACAGAAAAAGAAAGTGGGGAACATGATGGAGAATCTAAATCTGTCGAAACTACATGTGACAATATTGCTGAAACTGAAAGTACTCCTCAAGAAAGGAAATCTGATATGACTTTACCTAGGGAGGAAGTGAATTTAGTTGACGCTTCCAAGGTTGAGAGTATTGCCTCTCTACATACACAAAAAAGAAAGGTTCTAAGCAACCCTGACAAAAATACAAAATCTGCAAATAAAGTAGGCGTTCTTAGTGATTCATGCGAGATAAAGCCAAGACGAAAGAAGATGAAAGTAAGTTGCTTTATTACTATTCATTCTTCTTAGGATGTTTTTGTTCCTCTAATCCACTTGTCCATGCTGCTGTTTTCTTGAAAATTACAGTGACTATGTAACACATTTGGGAAAATTTTTCCAAACTTCTGTTTAATCTGTCAATGTTTCCATTTATTGTGTCTGCATTCCTGGAGTTGATCAAGAAATCTCGGACATGGTTCCATTCCATATTCATAATCATGAAGTTATAATCAACTGTGAACTGATAATGGAATTGTCAAACTTAACTAATCTATGATAGGAAATCTAGGAAGTAGTCTTTCCACCGAGTTACAATTTTGGTATTTGTTTTGGTCTCAGGTAGACTGGACGCCTGAGCTGCACAAAAAATTTGTGAAGGCAGTTGAGCAACTAAGCATTGATCAAGCCATTCCTTCAAGAATATTAGAATTAATGAAAGTGGAGGGCTTGACAAGGCATAATGTGGCAAGCCATCTTCAGGTCATTATGTACATTACAGGTTATGGTTGATCAATTTCTTATCTGCAATACTTAAACAAGTTTTTAAATAAACAGAAGTACAGAATGCATAGGAGACAAATCTTTCCCAAGGAAGAAGATCGGAAATGGTTGAATCAAAGAGAAAGGAGCTATTGTGTTCAAAGACCAATCATGGCCTTTCCTCCATATCATTCTAATCACACCCATACTATGGCTCCTATATATCCTAAGTGGGGACAACCTAGCACTCAAACGGCTGGCATGCATATGTGGAGCACTCCTGGTTATCCCTTGTGGCAGCCTACTGCTGAACATTGGCACTGGAAACCGTTTCCAGGGGTAATTTCTTTTTTTTTTTTTAACAGAACTCAAGGATAATGATATGATGTTTTTCATGTTATAGCTCTCAGGCTTGGGAGATGTAGATATTGCGGTTATGAATGTAGTTTTACCTGTGGTTACTTGATCTTTCAGATGCATGCAGATTCATGGGGCTGTCCAGTGTTACCAGTACCACCTCCTCAAGCTCCTTTTCCCTACTCTAAGGTGAGTTTCAGCATAACAATGAAGATATTAACCTAGTATCTATAGTATTTTGCATGTTAATGATTAATGTCTCTATGTGCGATTCATTTTTGCTAGTTATTTATCTGTGATACTATTAATATATTTTTCATCAAACCTCAGAATATGCCTGCGTTGCTCAATGCTGATGCAACAGGTCACACTTTTACCATGCCACAAAGTTCCTTAGAGAATTATCCGGTATGCAACACTTTCGGTTTTTTTTTTTTTTTTTTTT